AAGTTATTAACCAAGTTATTAACCAAGTTATTAACCAAGTTATTAACCCAGTTATTAACCCAGAGTTAACTCAGAGTTATTAACCCAGAGTTATCAACCAGTTATTAACCCAGAGTTATTAACACAGTTATTAACCCATAGTTATCAACCCAGAGTTATTAACCCAGAGTTATTAACCAAGAGTTATTAACCCAGAGCTATTAACCCAGAGCTATCAACCCAGAGTTATTAACCCAGAGTTATTAACCCAGAATTATTAACTCAGTTATTAACCCAGAGTTATCAACCCAGAGTTATCAACCCAGAGTTATTAACCCAGTTATTAACCAAGTTATTAACCAAGTTATTAACCCAGTTATTAACCCAGAGTTAACTCAGAGTTATTAACCCAGAGTTATCAACCCAGAGTTATTAACCCAGAATTATTAACCCAGAGTTATTAACCCAGAGTTATTAACCCAGAGTTATTAACCCAGAGCTATCAACCCAGAGTTATTAACCCAGAGTTATTAACCCAGAATTATTAACTCAGTTATTAACCCAGAGTTATTAACCCAGAATTTTTAACCCAGAGTTATCAACTCAGAGTTATTAACCCAGAGTTATTAACCAGTTATCAACCCAGAGTTATTAACCCAGAGTTATTAACTCAGAGTTATCAACCAATTATCAACCCAGAGTTATTAACCCAGAGTGATTAACTCAGAGTTATCAGTTATTAACCCTGAGGTAATAACTTAAAGTTAATAACTCAGTTATTAACCCAGAGTTATTTACGCAGAGGTAGTAACTTACAGTTATTAACCCAGACTTAATAACTAAGAGGTAATAACTCAGAGTTATTGTTATCAAACCCCGCTCCAAGCTCCTGGTCTTAATGCTGAGTTGGGTCAGCCTACAGAGGAGGCTCACTTCCTGTCAATCCTGATCCAAACCTCCAGTTGGGGGTTGGATCAGTTAATCCAGAGCTTCATCTCCTTCTTCACTACAGCAGATCGGAGCAACATCCTCATTATTACAGAGGAGGACCCAATCTGTTGGTCCACCACCTGCTCCGTCCTCCCATCACTCAGCGAGTTACTCACTCTATGGTGGTCTGGTCCAGGACCCCCGTCACAGGAATCCCGTAGAAGCGCTGCATGGCAGTGACGGCCGACTGCATGGCCTTCTCCTGCCGCAGGTCCGACGCCTGGACATCCTGAGGTAGCAGGTAGCCATAAGTCTTCAGCCACGTCTGTGAGCAGAGGAGAGGAGAGAAAGACCTGTCAATCATCCATAAACATGTCAATCATCCATAAACATGTCAATGACATCAAATCTGTAGCTTTGGATGGAATGATGGATGGATGATGGATGGATGGATGAATGGATGAATGATGGATGGATGTATGATGGATGGATGGATGAATGGTGGATGGATGAATGGTGGATGGATGGATGAATGATGGATGGATGGTTGGATGGGTGATGGATGGTTGGATGGTTGAATGGATGGATGATGGATGGATGGATGGATGTTTGGATGGATGGATGAATGATGGATGGATGGTTGGATGGATGGATGGTTGGATGGATAGATGGATGGATGATGGATGGATGATGGATGGATGGATGGATGATGGATGGATGATGGATGGATGGATGGATGATGGATGGATGATGGAAGGATGGATGAAGAATGGATGGATGATGGATG